ATATATATATATATATATATATATATCTTTTTTAATACAAATGTTATAGTAGATGTTTTTGTATTTTTATGTTACTAAAAGTTGTAGTTCATATTTTTGTTAATATATTTTCTTACCCGTTATATATAGATTATCATACGTTTAATATATAATCTACACAATTTTAAATGGTTTATAAAATTATTGTATATATCACAATGACTTAAAAATTAAAACTATAATCATCATATCATATCATATCATATCATACTATATTATAAAGGAGACATTTTTTCTTTCACCACATTCATTTGAAACTCCCAACTTTTCATATTTTCATACAATATGCTTAATTTATTAACTTAAATATGTTTTTAGTTGTAAACATTATCATAAATGGAAGAATTTGTGACTTATCAATATGATATACTGAATTTGTTAACTTCAATATATAGTTAAATAAATAACCTACATTAATATATCAAATAAGCTTAAAAATTTAGTGTAAATATTAAAACCTAAAGTAAAATATCAAATAATGTTTAAAAAAAATTCAATATATATTTTTTAACATAGTTAAAAGGAAAACATTAAATATAATAATAATAAAAGAAGCTAAATTGATGCATCGAATTAACTAAAAGGTGTCTGAAAACTATATTCTAACAATATATTTTTAACCTGTGTCGCGCAACGCGCGGGAATTCGTCTAGTATATATATATATATATATATATATATATATATATATATATATAGAGAGAGAGAGAGAGAGAGAGCTAGGTTCAGGTATTCTAACTAATTATTGTGTGATTGTATGCATAAATATGGGCCAATCAAAATTAAATAAAATTTTAAATAATTAAATAAATAAACAAGGGTATTTTAGTAATTTGATAAATAGCTTCCACAAATAGTCCCTATAATCATGCTTGCATTCACTTTTAACCTAATTTCTTTTCTTATATACAACGTAATCGATGTTGACGTTGGTGACCTCTAGTGGCCGGAAAAGTTCATCATCTCATCTCACCATAGGTATTTTTTTCCAATTTTTTTTACTTTATTTATTTCAGTTTCTCATGCTTGATTAAAGGGTTGTTCTCGGAATTGATTTGTTGATTAAATATGAGATGTAGATCGAGACTATAGGATTTGGAAAACTTGTTTATAAAAAAACCTTTAAAAAAACAGTGTTCACAAAAATGACGGCCATGGCCGAAGTCACTAGGGTTATGTCTTCTACTTTTAAGTTTTTTTTTCATTGCAAATATAGTCGTATAACTTTTGATATTTAATTCTTTTGGTTTAATTCTCTCGTCTATTTTTATTAATGTAAAATAATTGATAATTCAGTTTGTATATGAAAGCACAAACTGGAAAATAAATATTGCAAAACAGTTTGTATATCAAAAAAAGAGTAAATACATAAGTGGTTTGAGGAACCGACAATGAGTCAAAGTTCACTGATAGCAGGTTGTTTTTGGAAAACTACTTGGCAAAATCTTTTCATTTGCAATTGTATTCAAAGAAACCCACAAGCTGTTCGACAAAATGCCTTCTCTTATTTTAACTCTCTTTTTCATTTTTGATGTGAATCAAATTGTGATTTGTGTATTTTCTACAATTGCAATTCTATCGGAATAGAATCACAAATTCCAATTCTGTCGGAATGGAATCATGAATTTGGTGGATTCGGAATGAAATCATGAATTTGGCGGTGAAGAGGTTTTTGGTGGCTGGTGTGGATTCGGCAAAAGGAGGTGAATGTGAGTCTTCCGCAGCAATTGAACGGGATCAACAACATAGGTAACCTTCTTGCTTTATTATTATTATTATTATTATATATATATATATATATATATATATATATATATATATATATATATATATATATATATTAAAGTTGTGGAAGAAAGGAATAGTGAAGTTGGCATGCTTTGTCTAGGTTTGGCCCCTTCATTTACATATCCGGTCAATGTACTTCTTTAATTAATTTATTCATGTCCTTTTGTTTGTGTTCCATTCAACTTCCCATTTTTTTGGCAGAATTGGCCCCTGTATTATTGTTGGAAGTTAGGAATACTAAATTTGGATGTTTTTTTGGCAACTTTGCTCATTATTCTTTACCCATTTTGACACTTTTGGTCCTTGCAATGAATATTTTTACACTTTTTTTGGAACCTTTTAATATTTAAAGTTTGGCCACAAAACTTTAACGGTTTGACAACTTTGATCCCTTTTCTAAAAAGTTGCTAATTCCTACCCCTTTAATTCTCTAGCCATTTTCACATTTCTGGTCCTTGCAGTCAAAACTTTTACATTTTTTGTCCGGGGTAAAGCCCGGACTTTTCATCATTGCACTTTCTATGTCTGTCATATTTATCAATTCGGAAACAACATTGAAAGCTTCTGGCCCCCGCGTAGCGGGGGTAACCTTTCTAGTTATTATTATTATTATTATTATTATTTTGTGATTTGGAATCCCCGTTATGATGATGAAACAAGCAGAAGGGTCGAGCAAGGGGGTGTTTGTTTGATTTTGATTTTGTTTTTCTTTTCTTTGTTTAGACAAAAAATCAGTTGAGTGTTGATGGGTTTTGGGTTTGATTGTTCTTGATAGAAATGGATAAATGGAATGGATTTCTGGGGGTTAATGTTTTACAGGAAATTGTTTGTTTTGCTTGAGAGAATTTGATGTGGTGTTTATTGCTTGAAATTGTCATGGAAAGAAGATGAAGCAATAACAATGAGTGGTTGTATTTCTTATTTGCAGGTATACATGAAATCAAGAACAAGAATGTTCTAGTTTTATTGGCTGGGAACGAAATGAGAGATATCGAAACAAGACAGGGTACATATGAACCTTACAACATTCTACTGGAATGGAATCTTGAATTCCGATTCTGTCATAATAGAATCTTGAATTCCAATCTTCCAAAAAAAATGGATAACATTGTATGGGATGAAGATGAACAATGACCACCAATCTTCCAAAAAGAATGAATTATTCTAGCAGAATAATATACAATATAAGGAAAAAACTATATGTAATAGTATATTCTGGTAGAATGATTTATATATCGTGTTTCTTTGTTATTAATAAGTGTAACATTATCATAAAATATTATATAAAAAAATTTCTTTTCTAAGAATGTAATGAAAAAAAATTAATTTATTCAGAGAGAGAGAGAGAGAGAGAGAGAGAGAGAGAGAGAGAGAGAGAGAGAGAGAGAGAGAGAGAGAGAGAGAGAGATCGTTTTTGTCTAGCTATCAAGCATCTGGAAGACCACGTAGCAACATCCAACAATATACAGCCAAACTCCACTAGTACCTAAATAAGTATCATCGAACCGAACTCCTCTATTAGGACTAGGAATCAAAATTATTACCTTCACTCACAAAGCCTCTTTATTGTTAACAAATCTTCATTCCCATTTTTGTATGAGCGCGTAACTTAGAGTCTGAGAGACTTCTAATATCTAGTCCTCCTTTTTCTTAGGATGCCAACACCATGATCCATTTAATCCAAGTCATTTTTTATCCTCTTCATCTCCTCCCCAAAAAATCTTACATAGGTAGTTTCTATGAATTTAAAAACATAAACCGACATTAAGATAGGGGACATGTAATGTCCCCAGATATCCTAAAGAGCCCAACAACAGCTTCAATAAATTTGATCTATCACCAATAGAGAACATTTTATTCTTCTCTTTAAAATGCTTCTTTGTAATTCTATCCATCACTATTTTCCAACCTTTAGTTCTAGCTATGTTATCTCCAACCGGGAGACCTAGGTAAATAAACGACAATTTATCCGACTTACATCCAATCAACTCACATCCATTGAAATCATTAAAATTCACCCCACACCATACATACTCGACTTTAGCATGTTCATCTTCTAACCTGACACCAAATATAAACATTGCAACACAGTTACAATATATATGATATTTTCATTAGACGATACATAAGCATCATATGCATAAAACATATAAGATAAAACCAAACCATCATCACTAACTTTCGAACATGCAAGTAAATATGCAACTATCGAATCTTCAAAAGCGACATGCAATGCTTCCATGGAAAGAATGAAGATAAAAAGAAAAAGAAAATATTATTTTATTAGACCCCTCTCTAGTTGAAGTTCTTGAGTTGGACTACCATTAACTAGAATAGAAAACCTAGCGAAATTGAGACATGTTTTGATCCACCCGCTCCATTTTACTCCTAAACCCATAAACTACATATCTTATTTTAAAAATTCACAACTTGGAAAATCATAAGTTTTCTCAAAGTCTATATACATAATCATTAGTTTTTTCCTCTTCTTTTTGCATCAGTTTGTTACCATCTCCTTAACTATTAAAGACAATCAAGGATATGATGACCTTTATTAACATCATAAAATATGATTTTTTAAAGAATTGAAAATTTGATGTTTTAAACAAAAAAAAAAATGGAAATTTTGATATTTTCTAAAACTTTTGAGAAAATCGTATTTTATATTATTATATATGTCTAGTTTATAATACATAAGTTATAAATTTTTTAATATTTGTTTCTTTTTTCATAAAATATTTAGCCCTATATAAAAAAATCATTACCATCTATTAGTGAATAAACTACTAAAAAAATGGTATTAGTGTATCGATATAAATTTTTTAAAATTCTAGTAATATATTTTAATTTCAAGATGACATATTTCTCCGAATCAACATAAATGTGAAATATAATGCTTTGTTAAAATCTATTGTACTATGTGGACAAAGAACGAATGTTGACTTTTATGCTTAGTTAAAATTAAGCATAGTTAATACCAACAATAAACCTAATAAAATGGACAAATATATTGTATGCCTTAAATGTCTTAATCGTTAATTCTAAAAGGAAAGAGTCCCTATTTTTGTATCAATGTTCAAAAAGATTTTATATATAATACCTTTCACCTGTAATCAAATAATAATTTTGTTTGTGCATTACATTGTGAGCCAAAAGGTTGTCTTCGTTTTGTTAATGGCCAAACTTGAAGCAAGTTTCTTCTTCCTCCTTCTCTGCATCGCCGTTATAGACCTCTCACAAGTAAGCAGATAATGTTTATGTTTATGATTATAATTTTATATTTATTTATTGTTATTTTTGTGTCAATATTCATTAATTAAGCAGTTTTGTTCTAATGTTTACGCTTAAATATAAGCTAGATTTGCTTATTATTTTTGTTTTAACTTTTATTAGGCAGGAGGAGAAGGATCGTTAACGCGTGCTCGTAAGTATTTGTTCTTCTTATTATTAAAAGTTATTGTGTTAATTAATTAAGGTTCCCATCATCACATGAGTTAATTTTGTGTTAATTAATTAATAATGTGAATTTTGCAGAATGCCCACATGCTTGTGGAGTTCGTTGCTCTAAAACGCATCATCGTGGAAATTGTTTGGATACGTGTAACAGTTGTTGTCGAGCATGCTTATGTGTTCCTTCGGGCTTTGTTGGACACAAAGATGAATGCCCTTGTTATAGGGATCGGAAAACACACGATGGCAAACCTAAATGCCCATAGCCCATAGGATCGACCATTTGGGTTTACTCATCATAAATGTGAAATTATTATTTTTCTTAAACTCGTCAGACTTAATTAGAATTTAGAATATCTATATATGGGTAAGTCAAATGAGCAATCTTTATATTTTGTGTATTGGCATATCTTTGGTATTTTACAAAAGATTTCCGTAGTTTCAATCTTTTTTACGAAGTTGCTAACAATTTCCTTCATTGTGATACCAATCATAATAATCTGTGTATATTTTTCTATAGTTTGAAACTTATACACACCTTCTCAAAAATAATAAAAAATTTATATCATGTTAAATTAAAATGTTATTCTCATGATCAGAAGATATGATTTTTAGCAAAAGGTGAGAGTTTGATTTCGAACATGAAAAAAAAAACACTGAGTCAAGGGGTCGCGTCTCCTTGTGGGTCCAAGGCACATAGCCTTCGCCGGTCCCACTGATCGATCAACCGGCGAGGTCGAGGGGCATCATCCTTGAACCTCTACAAATTTTCAAACCAGAAGAAAACACATCTAGAAGTAGTGGATTAGTATAGAACGAACCTATTTGACTTGGATACATCATGAACTATTAAAGTTTTAAATTTTAAACTTGTCTTTGTAAAAACATTTAAAACACATGCATCTTCTAAAGTCTAAACGATACACATATATATTATTTGGATTAGTATAGATAGAACCTATTTGACTTGGCTACATCATAGTGTATTGGGAGGTTACTTCATGATCATATCTTTCAAAGCCCATCGCCATTCTTCAACAACTGGAAAGCGTCCCAAACGAACAGCCGATTCTTTGAGAAGCCCAACACACCCTGCACCCCTACACACTGCTTCCCTCGACACCTTCTCAAACCCTTCCTTCGGGTGGTCTTGTCCAAATGCATTCCAACAGAACACTTCCAAGGACTCGCTCTCGTCCAGCAGCCGAGGCTCATGCATAGCATCCGGTTTGAGCCGACCAACAACATATCCATCCCTTGAAGTTGTCGTCACAATGATTCTACTTCCACGACCCAACAATGACCGATTCATGCTTAATATCTTCAACTGCTCGTCGTTGTCAACATCATCAAGAACCAAAAGAAGCTTTTGATCCTTTATCATCCTTTCTATTTTACCAATTCCCTGATGATAGCTGCCTATACGGATGCGACTTTCATCATCTTGGAGAAGATTTGATAAGAGCATCTTCTGCAAATTTACTTTTCCGTTCGGCTCTCCGAATACGGTTTTCACATCAGGGAGAAAACAACAATGCCGTGCTTTGAAATGTATAGTAAGTCGCTTGTATGTAGCTTTTGCGACTGTCGTCTTGCCTATTCCTGCAGCCCCGCAAATTGCAACCACACGAACATCATCACCATCAATATTTAACAACGAAATCACATCTCGTATCCGAGATTCTATCCCAACAAGGGGTATATCTTCTTCATTCAGATCTAACCCATGTATCAAATTTTTGACTTTTTCAACAATTTGATCCTTCAACTCCTCGTGGTCCCTGCTATTAAACTATTTCAAATCCCCATCTTCCATTGCAGTGTCTTCTAATATGAAAAAAAACAAAAAGAAGGAAGAGAAAAGCTTTACCCGTTGGCGTCATTTTGCAGGTGCAAGCCATGGAGTTCTCCTGCCCTCCGTAGAGCTTCCCTCCAGTTCTGAACCCTCTCCTGATTGAATTTTGTTTCATAATATTTGAATGCTTCTTTATAAGAACCTTGTTGGGTGCCAACATCTGACGGATTGACATCCAGAAAAATAGGAAGAATGGTCTGATTTGAGTTCCTATCCACGCAATACATCATGTGGGCAAGTTCATCCATGCACCATTTGGAATCACCATAGTTGGTCGAGAATATGACAACGAAGATCCTCGACTGCTTGATGGATTCCAATAACTGGGGGCCGATGACAAGACCTGGTCGGAGGGAGGTGTCGTGGAACACATCAAAGTTGTTGCGTCTAAGAGCTTCATAGAGGTGGCTAGTAAAGTTGTTGCGAGTATCCTTGCCCCTGAAACTGAGGAACACGTCATAACGAAATCGAAATGCTTCTTGTATGGGTTCCATGAAATCACAACAATTTGGAAAAACTTTCTAGTTTTGTGAAGGAGATGCATACAATGAAAACGAAGAGCCCATTTTCTGCTGATGTGGTCTTTAATAGTATTTGAATGAAAATGGCTTAGAAGTTTCGTGTCTTTTTCCCAGCATTTTCTCTAAAAGATTACTTATGCTTCGATATAGTAATGATATATAGGGTAGACAAAAGAAAATTTCGTCGTAAGTGGTTACTAAATATTGACGGTCGAAGACGTGAAAATGCAGCGTTTGCTCACACGCTTTATCGTATGCGAAAAACCTTGAAATCATATTCCTAGCTCATGAAGACCGACCTTGTGATCGCTTCTCAAAATCCTAGAACAAACACTCACTCTAAAGATAAACTCGGTAAAAAAATTTATAAGATCAAAGAAACACTATTGCCAAAGTTAATAACTTGACATATTATAATGAGTTCATTTGTGGGTTATACACTTATACGTGCAATCCTGTCAATTTCCAATAGATGTCCTCGACATAAACATTTTTTTATAACTTATTACAACTAATTTTCTTTTATGGAATATAATGGTTCTTATGGTTTTCAAACTAATCGAGTTCTGTCCTTAACTTTTTAGATCATCAACACGGTCACTGTGGTTTCAAAACTTTTAATGGTTGGTCATACGCGACCTCATTTGCATCGTCGCACCCCAAGTTGTTCTCTCTCACAGCCTCCGACGATTTCCTTGCTTTCGGCCACTCCCTTCACCAGCGACGTCAGGTAACACCCTCCTTATCATTTTTATCGATTTCCCATCTTTCCCTGTTTTTTTTCCCTGATTTTAAGCATTATAGTGACCACAACCTCCACCATTGGCCACCTCCTCCCCTTCATCGTTGCAGGTAAGAAAGGTACACTTTTATGGGCGTTTTTTTTTTCTGAAATGTAGAATTGGGTTTCCTGTGACCACAGTGGCCACCACCAGCGACCACAGCCTCCACCAGTTACCACCTCTTCCCCTATGAGAAAGTTACGCATTTTTAGACGTTTTTTTTCTTCTGAAATTCTAATTTGGGTTTTCCGGTGATAATAGCCACCACCGTCTACCCTTCCGTCATTGCAGGTAAGAATGTGGCATCCTCTAATTTTCAAAACCAAAAAGAACTTTCTTTACACTTTAAAAATCATGATACTTTATGTGTGGAAAATCTCATTATATAAAAATATTTTGAGTACAAGATTGTCTAAGGTAAGAATGTGGCATCCTCTCCCATAATTAGGAGTCGCAAAACGCCATGATCTGAGACGTCAACTATAAAAAATAAAAATAAAAATGGCGTACCAAAACACTACGTGGGCGGTAATAACAGTTTCAGAATTATTTGCTTTAAAATGTTTAAAAAGAACCTTGATTGACAAGTTTTGACCCACAGAACACAAACCTATTTGTTGACACGTTCAAAAAGAAGGAAGGGTACAACTATCATAGTCAAAGTTCAAGCACTAAATCGATGAAATCTCTAGAAATTCAAAAAGAAGATTAAAGAATCCAAAGTTGAAGGCAAAGAAACAAAAATTCAAGTTCAATCAATTCAGAAGTCATCTCAAAGTCAAATCTGGCGCAAATGAAGAACTGTCTGATATGATATTTGGTGTTCTCAAAAAAGTGAAAGCATATGAGTTGAGCCCCTATGGGTGTGGCTCACTCCTTAAGCGAAAGCTGATTTGACCAGACGGGTTCTTAAGGATGCGTCGAGCCTGGTTCTTAATTATCTAGTGTAACATCTGTTGGATTAGATGTCTAAGCCCATAACTTTTATCGGTATGTACTTGACCCGAGAGTAGCATGGTCCATTTGGGTTGCATATCATGAGGACAATTTGTTAGGATGAATTCTTGAGAGAATGTTATATATGATTTATTAATATTTTATAAGTTCTAATATATTAATATAAAATCATATGTTTTAATTAGTATTGATCAAGAATTAATTTGGAATTAATTTAGTGATCAAAAGAGATTAATTAAATCTATGAGGACTAATTATGATAATTAGTTATATCTATATGTGTTGGGCTTATGATCCATGTTGGACCAAGTTTATGTATGGATACATAAAGAGTTGGGCCACATGAACCATGGATCATAAACCCATGGGTATGGTTTTGGGTTATACCCATGACTCTTGAAATCCAACATATAAATACATGTTCTTAACCTAAAAAACGCCTACATGCATGTTCTTGGAGTTCATGGGTGTTTTTTTTGGTGCAAGGAATTCTCTCTCAAGTTCCTCCTTTGTTCATGATGTGTTGTGACTTCATTTGAGGCTTCCACACTATTGGGGCTAAGCTATTAAGGCCAAATACATCAAGACTTCAAGCTACATAAAAAGTATGTTACCCTAACTAGTATCTTGTATGGTGTATGTCAATTGTATGCTAGTTATAGGCTTAATACCTTGGAAACATCATTGCATGTATAATTAGTGAAAACATAGATCCAAGGTATTTAGGGTTGTATGTGCACCATAGGATGTTGTAGTATACCAAAACCGAACAGTGGTATCAGAGCCATGGGTTGTTTTCAATTATACTTGATGTTACTTGCTTGGAAATGCCTTAAAAATCGATTTTCTGCTGTTCTGGACTGTGGACTCGCCGAGTCCACTGATGGACTCGTCGAGTCCAAGGCAAAAACTGACCAACTCGTCGAGTTTGTTCATACACTCGACGAGTTGGTGCTCCAGAATGCAGATTTTCGAGGTTTTTGGCTAGAATTGGACTAGGATCATTACCCTAAGTTGTTTTTGAACTTATAAACCTGTTTTTGATGTGGTAATGATCATACTAATCCAATTCAAAAGATAATTGTCAAAAGTTTCATGTTTTGTATTAGTTTAATGGTTAGGCTAATTACATGAAAATTGTTTGATTTGAATTGTCTTGTTCATATGTGTTTAATCTAGATCATTGTTTTTCTTGACATGTTTGTTAGTTTAATTGGTGATCTTAATGATTTTTAATGGACTCCATAACTTGTCCTCAAGTTATGGAAAACCAAAAGTTTTTCCTTTTAAAAGAATCATTAAAGCCATAGGTTATAAACTTGAAGAGTCTTTTTCCCATAAATTGTTTTATGACCTCCATAACTTGTCCTTAAGTTCTCTTTCAAAAAAAAACTTGTCCTCAAGTTATGGTTTTTGCATGGTTATTCACTCCTTGTTTGTGATCCTCGGCATCCCAGTCACAAACTTGAAGGGCACAATCGAGATTTAAACATGTCATTGAATAGTTCAATGAATCTCAAAAGATCTAGGAGTTTCAATCCATTTAAGACCTAAAATTTCTTTTCCTTTTCATGGTGGAAATTGGTAAATCGTCATTTACCTACCTTCAAATATTTTGTAGCTTGGATTACGGCATCCCTCTTCAAAAATATAAAATATTGTGTTGGGTCCTAGCCTTGATATTTCATATTGGGTGTTATATTAAGGACTTAAATCAACTCAACTTGAATTTCTCCCTCATAGATGTCTAGTTATGACAACTATGGTCCTCCTTATCCTTTTGGATGAAGCTTTCCTAATGAAGATGATATCCCAAATGGCAATCAAGGTGAAAGATTAATCCCTTTGTTGTGCATTAATGGGACTGAAAATCATACTTCACTTCCTCCACCTCCTCCAATTGTTCTCCCTAACCCACAAGTTCTTGAAAAGTTCAATGTCACTCAATCCCTATTGGCAAGCAGTGTCTATATGTACTCACATCTTGGAGATGAAGTCCCATATTGACAAGCTGGGAGAGTTGGTTGTCGAAGTCTTAAGGAAGTTGACTGTTGACTGGGTTCTTCAATCACTTTTCGAGTCATATAGTGAGTTCATTAAGGACTACTATGTGACAGACCACAACATGACCCTTAATGATCTTACCTATTTGCTTGTTGCTGCTGAATTAGAAATGATTTGGAGCACTGGAAAGGCAAATTTGATTGGAAGATCTACTTCCCAAACTTACATGGACATTAATAATGGAAACATTGGAAGTCCAGAAAAGTCTTCTCTTCCCAATGGAAAGGGATCGGCCATAGTCAACCTGGTTGACCAAATGGTAAAGAGAAAGGTTAAGTCTGAGATAGTCCCATGTACCATTACTTAAGAGTCCATATGTTTCTATTGCCAAAAGAAGGGGAATTGGTTGCGAAGCTGCCTTATTTACCTGAAAGTTCACTAGGATGGTAAAAGTAAAAAATTTGACTATGCTTCAGGTAAAGTCCACTATCTAACTCTATTAAGTTCCTATTTGAAGATTCTTATTACATGATGTGACTAGGTCGCATCTTGATGTTTTGTAGAATCGGAAAAGGAGAGGAAGCTTAGAAGAAGAGTATGTTGAATCTGATTGCGAAGATGGATTTCGATCGCATGATTCGAAGATCGGAATTTTGAGCTGCTGATAAGAGTTATGATAGATTGCTTAGGAATAGATAACAACATAGTTTTCATATGTATTTGCATTGTAAGGATAAGTTTTTTCCGCAATTTAAAAAAAAAGGAAAATTTTTGATTTTATTTATTTTAAGTATCCTTACAATGGCACTTGTGAAAATTGTTGTTTATATTCCATTGATAGCAATATTGGAAAATGGATTTGATTCTTTCGTTTGTGGTAGTGTCATAATTTATCAAATAAGGAAAGATTCCCATCACCCAAGTTACAGTTGGATAGAAACTTGGAATCATGCAACCTGCATTGTATGATGCATGAGAATTTTCATCTTTGGGAAATTAATACTAATTTCTTGTTCACATGTATGGAGATCGGGTACACTTGGTTGTGCGCTGATCAGGTCCACCACAAAGAACGATAAGGCTATTCGTCATGATTTACTAAAGTTTAGTAAATATGGTTGTGCTTACAAGTTTAAGTATAATTCTGAAACATTGGAAAAGTTTCAATGTATGGCAGGACGAATGAGTAGAATCAAATTAGGCAGAAAGATAAAAGTTTCTCCAATCTGAAAAGATGGGAGAGTACTTCAGTATCATGTTTTTTTGATCATCTTAATGATTATGAAAAACCGTATCACAATT